GGGTGGGTGGGTGGGCAGGCATCCTTAACACCCCCCCTTCCCTTAACACCCACCTCTCCCCGCCAGGCGATAAAGCCTTCGCCCAGTTCCTGACGGATGAGATCAAAGAGGAGAAGAAGATCCAGAAGCACAAATCTCTGCCCAAGGTCTCCGGCGGGTGGGAGCTGGACGTCCGCGGCACCGAGGCCAAGCTGGTGCGGAAGATAGCCGGCGAGAAGTAAGTCTGGTCTTGAGTAAAGGATCCATCCGGGCAAGCACGCGTACTGGCGAGGGCTGGGAGAGGAAAGCCACCGGACTTCTCCTTGCGCTCCTGTTACTTGTATTGCTGTCCGGTCTGCCAGCTGGACGTTGCAGAAGCTTTTTATTTTACCGCCTTGGGTACTTGTTTTTTGCTACTGAATTGTGTGTTACAAAATGTCATGCGGTTTTCCTGCATTAACAATAACAGTTCCGTCCGGTAAAACTGGAAAAATGCTTGTTCATGAGAGCGATTGGAGGAAGCTGGCTTCGTTCTGGTGTGTGTCCTGAACTGTCCCTGCAGTACCTGGTTTCATTCACGGTGTGTGAATTCAACACCAGTAATGGTCTCCCCACAACAAGAGCTTCCCACTGGAGAAATTTTGATGGGTGTTTTTTGCATGTGTTCGAAGTAACCGCTTCTGTTTCTTTTGAAGGATAACAGTCACGTTCAACATCAACAACAGCATTCCACCCTCAGTGGATGAAGAAACACAGGAAGAGCAGAAGCCTGATGAGCAAGAGGTAATGGAGTTTTGATGTGCGCTTTAGTGACGGATACACGAGGGAGGTTAGAACCTTGCCCATAAGCTAAGGATTTTTTTTGCTCTCGATATTTGGGAGCATTAAGTCACAAAATGCAGATTTTTCCGAGTTGGCTGTCACTTGGCTGTGACCCTCCTCTCTGCAGCAGAAAGGCAGAGCAGGGTGAGAGGGCTCTACGAGGAGAGAGGAACTCAGATACCTCCTGTCTTTGCAACTCCCTGCAAGAAGCACCGCCTTTTGTACTTAACTAGTGTAACTCAGCTGGTAGGCAACGTCAATGAAATGCAAAGCTAGTCGTAAGACTTCAGTTGTGTGGTTTTGTTGGCCAAAAGTGCCTCACTCCTGTTTAAAAAGTAAAAATACCGATAAAAACTGTAAATGAGCAATATCGTTTGAGGCAGGTGGCGTCATCTGCAGTGACGCTGATGCCGAACGAGTCAGGAATGCAGCTGCTCCGTATGCAGCAGTTAACTTGCGCTGCCTGCACAGCAGTATTTATTCCGGTGCGTTGCCCTCCGCTGGGTGGGACAATACTGGGGACACGCGTACACTGTTCCTTCCCGGGCGCGCCTGTATCGGCTGAGAAGGCGCAGAGCGCTTGGTCTGTGCACGTGGAGTGTGTTTGGCAGTCTCTGTGCCCTGCCGGCTTCCTCCAGGAGGGAGGGCAGGCACAAGCAGCTCCCGCTGGCAAACGAGTCTGACTCTGTTCCCGGCTCCCATCCCTTGAGGGACCCATCCAGGTGAGCTGCAGGCTCTCTGGGATGTCGGGGGGTGGCAGATGCTCCCAGCTGCCATTTTACCAGCCGCAGAGCAGAGGAGGGGCTGAAGGGCCGTTGCGAGGCTGGGGGAGGCTTGGCTCGCCCTGGCCAGCTCAAAGACTCCAGGAGGGTGACAGGGAGCAACCTGTGCTGGACGGGCTGTGTTGCTGGGCTGTACTGCCCTCACTGTGGCTCCTGGTCAGACTCCAATGCTGATGCAACTTTTCTCTCATTTAGCCCGATCTTACATCAACTCCAAACTTTGTTGTGGAAGTAATAAAAGATGATACAAAACAGACCCTTGTTCTTGACTGCCATTATCCCGAAGACGAGGTGGGTACCGAACTGCTCGTGTGTCAGCCGTAGCCAACTCTGGGCTGTGACTCGCTGTGCGTTTCGTGCTTGACTGTAGCGTGGTTGTGCCGCTGTTGAATTCTAACTGCTCTTTAGTCTGCTGCTTTTCTGAATCTGCAGAAAATGCAGTCTCCTCACTTTTTTTTTTTTTTTTAACACACGAAAAAAGGCTTTGTGTTTGTAAGAACACTCTCTGGGAAGGAGATGTTCCATTGCACTCCTCACTCACATCCTGACCTGGTGTTTCTGATCGGTTGCTTATTGCCCAGTTTATTGAATTGCATTAGAGAAGGGAGGCATGGCTTAACTTTAACAGCATGGCAGCTTGAGGGGCGTAAACAAAAGTAGCCATAACAAGAGAGATTTAATACGGTGTGTCAGTAGCTTGCAAATCTCACTGCTGTGAGGTGTCACAAAAAGAAGTAGGGATTAAAAAAAAAAAAGGAGGGGAGAAAATAAAATCTCTGGTTCACGCTGATCTTCATGCTTTATTTTGTAGACCTTAACAGATCACTTATGCAGCCAGTCCTAGCTGACAAATGTTAGACGGATGTGTGAAGCCAGATTTAGAACCACACAGAAGAGCTTTTTACATCTTTGTAAAAATCAGGCTGCTGATTTCCATCAGGTGGCTTCTGGCAGTCTGTGTTCAGAAAGCTGCTTATGATTCTCGTCTAGGTCTAGAATTGTGGATTTTTTTTTTCCCCATCAGGTGGCTTCTGGCAGCATGGGCTGGTAGACTGACATCTTGGGGGATTTCCTGCGTTCTCCTGCATGTCTGTGCTTGTCTTCACAGGCATGCGTTGAGAGGGGAGAGGCACAGCTTTAATACCGGTCTTGGGGCTTTGCCTGCGGTGTAATATTTCTCGCTTCACGGTGAGATGGCTGAAGGCACCCAGTAATTGGAGCTAATTGCATGTCGTACATCTCATTTCCTGTTTCAGGTTGGACATGAAGGAGAGGAAGAAAGTGATATTTTCACAATTCGGGAGGTCAGTTTTCAGCCCACTGGTGAATCGGATTGGAAGGACACCAACTACACCCTTAATACGGATTCCCTTGACTGGGTAAGTGCTGCTAAGATGCCGTGGGCTGCAGAGAGCACGTCGGCGTATCTCGCCTGGCTGCCCGTTTGCTCCGGAATCACGAATGAGCCCTGTCTGATGTCTGAGATGGGGGATTCCCCTCTGCCCCAGCTGGTCATGAGGTAGTGTGGTTCTGCTGCAGGCTGAGGATTATTACGTGGTCCCAGCGGCACTACTGGCAGTCATAGATAGATGTGTTGAAACTTGTTCTGTTCAGGGCTTCATAGGTTGATTTCCTAGCAGCTCTATTACGCTTGAGAGATGTTTTGACAGTTGCTCAGACATCTTTTGATCTATGTGTTTAACAGTGTAGCTTATCAGATACCACGTGTAGATGCCTTTGTTTTCTGGGGTTTCCAAGTATGTTTTTATAATAGTAACACTAAAAGCTAACGTGCCCAAGAATCTGGCATCTGCTTCTATGTTCTCAATGCCAGGCTTTCAAAAGGTTAAATCTTAGTTGCAGGTTGTGTATCACATGATTAAAACTTCACTCCTAGAGTGTCTCCTTGGGAAGTATTAGTGTTCAAATTCATTAGTGCACTCTAGAACGTCCCACACTGCTTTTTTTTTTCCTTTCTGACTTGAGACAGAAAATAAATTAAAAAATGCATATGATTTGTGATCTTTTCAGATTACAAAAGTCCAAAATTAATAATTTGCTCTGTAACATTGATCTGTTAAAAAAAACAAACAAACAAAAAACCAAACAAAAACCCACAACAAAAAACCCCAAGAAACAGGTATTAGCATTACTGCACTAAGCACCAATAATGAACCTGTTCTCCTGAGGAGCAAGGGGGGAACCCAGAACCATTAACATATGCTGGAGTTGCAACAGTTAAGTAGGAAAAAGAGTTGATGATTAAAGATTTAGTCTTCCAAACAAATATTGACATCAGATACCGCCTTTTCCAGACACGTTTAAGCAATTCACCCCCAAGGCCATAGTACTATATAGGGGGACAGGCAGAGCTTGGTATGTGTAATCTTCAACAGACTCTACCTGCTGACTCTTCCAGTCAGTTGGTAGCTCCAGAGTGCAGCTCGTTGGTGACACTGGGTTTACATGACCAAGTTTGCGTGACCTGTTCCATGGCCCCTTCCCTCCAACTGATACATACTGTGGGAGGCAGACCTGGTCTTCCTGGGAGAAAGAAATGCCAGTTGCCACAGGACACTTTAGAAGCAACGCCTACCCAGGTGTGCCCTGCTTAAGGAAGTTTCCTGTTCATTGCTTCTAGGCTCTGTACGATCATTTAATGGATTTCCTGGCTGATCGAGGAGTGGACAACACGTTTGCTGATGAGCTAATAGAGCTCAGCACTGCACTGGAGCACCAGGAGTACATTAAATTCCTTGAAGACCTTAAAAGCTTTGTCAAATGTCAGTAGGTTAGACTAGGAAACTTATCTCCAAGTGTGGGTATTCCACAGCACTGCTCAGCCAGCAATACCCAAATACATCTTCACAACAGATAGGAAGAGTAAGTAACTTTGAATTTGGAAATGAGCATCATGGGAGAATGAGGATTCTTGCTCGGTTTTGGGGAATTTGTATTTATGTTACAGCCCAGATCAAGTTCTCTAACATTATGGTCTGGAATTGCCTCACCCTACCTGGTGGTTTTTGTACAATTAAGAATGAATGTATGTGAAGAATAAAAATCTGTTCAATGTATCACTGAAAACTTTTCTCTTCTTCCTGC